GTATATATACACACTTGATTTTAACATATATATATATATATATATAAAATCAGAAATACAGAATACATTATAGACATGGGAAAATAATTTTCTCTTGCTCCTCAGATTAACTCTAGGCTAGATCTAGCTATAACTTCTCCAGTTAATGGAGGGGAGGATCTGTGTGTATTATCAGAGGTGATGCATTATACATTATATATTCCATCTGGACATTTTAGGGCCACTTTTCCCACTCCCTGCAATAGGAAAACCTGTCTGAGGCATTGCTCCTGCAACCTTGAACCAGCTGGATTCACAGAAGACATTGCCATTTTTAGAGTTAGTAAGTTCCTTGCTATTCAGTTGCAATAACTCCACTTCATAGAGCACGATCTCTCCTGCTCCATGATTAGCATTGAGAACAAGAGCAAGATTCCTGAGATGAGGGTGGTAAAACCAATAGGGAATTGATCTCAGCTGTGACAAGTGACAAAGAAGACCAGTACACAGCATGGATGCTTCCCACCTGAGTTGGCTGTAGCCTCAGTTATCTGCAAGATAATGGCAGTTTTTAAGCTCTGAAAATAAAGGAATCCCAGCTTCTCCTGGCAGAACACCCTACCATTACGGGGTTGCATCAGTATCACTGGGAACGCAAATATGGTCCTAATTCAGTTAGGAAACAAAAGGTACCTGCAAGGAAAATTTTCAGTTGAATTTAACACAACGAGTATTTCTTGGGTTGGGGTCATTTACCTGCAGAAATGTTTTTTGAGTTAAAGAACATGATCCAAAACCGGCTCTAACTGTGTCATTATTGGTTACAAGAGTGATTGCCATAAAAGTTAGAGCAGGGAGGGAACTTTCGAGCTCATTTACATAGTCCCTAGTAAGTGGATGTATACGATTTGATCCCTCATTTTACAGATGAAGAAACCAAAGCCAAAGGGAAGATAGGATTTACTTAATGACAGAAAGGTAGCCAGTGTGGCACAGTCAGGACTAGAGACCAGAATTTCTGAGCCTTACCTATTATTCTTTCCACCATTGCCTTCTTTGTAGTCAGTCATTTTCTACTGCTGATTGATCAGGTATGGAATATATTTATTGCCATCCCTGTAACTGCCCATGTGACCTCATGCCTACAACTTCATTAAACTATTGTTAACCACTTCAGTCCATGTCCAATTATCTCTTCTCTGAATTTTCACAGTGCTTACTGGCTGTACCACAAATTAAAGCTTTTAATACAAAAAAAATGGATTATTTTGCAATGATTTTATGTATATGTCTTGTGTCACTAGTAAGTTTTCTATGCTCCTCCAGGTAAGGGGATTTGTTTATCATTCTTTATACGTGTCAGCATGTACCACTTAGGTTTATACATGGGTTCATCAGAATGAGCATGTAACTTAGCATACAAATTAGAACAATTTGGGAAGTCAAAAAATATTATTGATATGTATGCAATAAGTATAAACGGTGACTGTCCTTAGACAATTAGAATGTCTGGTCACCGTAAGAGTAGTAGTTGACTTACTGGAGTTAAATAAGAACCATTCCATTGATGATTGTACAATTGTCCAACTGTGGGATATTAGTTACAATTTACCCACTACACTGAGTGAGATTATCTCTAAAACAGTAACCAGTGAAAAATCATGTAAATCATGGAACTCAATTTACTGAATTTTTATATGTAGGTATCATTTGTTGAAAAGTTATGAATATTTCTATAAAGTATTCATCATTCGCTGCCTTACTTTTTAAAGCTGTAAGGCTAAAGTTAAATATAAAATGTCTGTGGGTCCGGTTTTCATCATTCCAATACTGAAAATATTGTTGTGAGTGAAAAATCTTGGCATTGTCTCTAATGCCTTCCTGACATGAGGGGAACATATGAAATCTGATGGCTTTCTACATGGGGTTGGTGAGGGGGAGGATGCTGTTATAACTTAGGGATAAAAAGGCCCCAGTTTGAAGTTTAGAAATAGATTTAAATTTAAACACCCTCTCCAGAAAGTATGAAGGCATGAAGACACAGGTCATGATTTTTACTTTCTTTGGGAAAAAATTATGGAGGAATTAGTGAAGGAAACAAAGTTTATGATAACTTGACATACAACTAAAGAGTAAGACTTTATAGCATTTGCTGCCATCATGCTAGCCGTCTCTGAAGAGAGCGATACCATTGAACATATTAACTTAATGAAATCCATCTTTACATTGATTTCTGTTAAGAATTAATCAAATAAATTTCTCTGGACCCAATTTTCCTAAGACCAAAATGATATATATATATATATATATATATATGTTCAAATATTTACCAAAGGTTCGGAAATCCCAGATAGAATAGTGTATAGATTGGATTTATTAATATTGCTAAGTCAGAGGTAAAATGCCTGCAGCAGAACGAATTTTAAGCACTTGAACAATGCTAGTCACGCTATCTGCTGCAGATAGAAATTTGCTACCTTGACGGTAACAAAGAACTAACAGGCCATATAGAGACTTCATGCTGGCAAGTAAATGCAACAAGAGAAGAAGGATTTCTGAGACAAATTGCTTTTTGGTGTTGAATATTGCATTCTATACTATGGTATATAATACTTCAATTATAGACAGACGTTTGTATCAAAGCAGATTCATAGTCTTTACCACAAAAACTATTTTATGAGAAAATTAAATAATCGTACTTTTCCATCCTCAAAGTTCCCAACTAAATTGAAGTATAGTAGCAAAAGAAATTTAAGAAAAAGAATTACAAGGGAGGCAAAATAGCATTCTGCCCTTAGGAAAAAATGCTGAGAAAAAGACATTCTGTTGACAGATTCTCACCTACCCACATGGACCTCTAAGACAAGCCCCAAGACTGTATTATTTTAAGAAATTAATTTTCCAAAATCTATTTAAAAGACTTGCTTCTCACATCTTGTTATCATTAGAATATTTCTGTCCCTGGATGGAGAGTAGAGCGATATTCAAATGGTATGTGTTCTGTATTAAAATAATAAAGGGAAAATAATAAAACTCTGTCTTTATACATAGTTATTTGCAAGCTTATGAGGTCATGTGAGCATTCTACCTTGCCATATTTCTCAGGAAAACAATATTTATTTTCATTTCAAAAGGTGGCAAGTCTCTGGAACCTCAAGACATGGAGTTTCTATAAAGGCACAGGGCCCATCTTCTACTCCCATTCCATGTCACCCATATACTTTCTTTAACTTTGATTCATTAGTAAATAAAGGTGATAGTTGGAAGAACAACAATTTTAAAAATATATACTGAAATGTTATATAGAGAAATCATTATTATTTTTTTTTTGAGACAGGGTCTCACTTTGTTGTCCTTGGTAGAGTGCCATGGCATCATAGACCAAAGCAACCTCAAACTCCTGGGTGGAAGCAATCCTCTTGCTTCAGCCTCCTGAGTAACTGGGACTATAGGTGCCAGTCACAATAACCAGCTAGTTTTTAGAGACAGGGTCTCAGCCTCTCAGAGTGCTAGGATTACAGGCATGAGCCACCACACCCAGCCAGAAGTCATTATCTTTACCAATTGGCAGAAAAAAATGTGTCACTTTTTTACTGTATTTTATGTATCAATCAATATGTATTTATGTTGATATATTTCTCACTGATATATTTTGTCTCAACTGTCTGAAAATAATGTCATAAATGAAATGCAATTTGTGTATATTCTCTTATACAATTTTTTTTTTTTTTTTTGGCAGGGGCTGGGTTTGAACCTGCCACCTCTGGCATATGAGGCCAGTGCCCTACTCATTTGAGCCACAGGCGTTGGTCGCATTCTCTTACAATTTTGACCTAATTATTAGAACATGTATTGATATACAACCTGGAGTAAAACTTGTAAACCCCATGTCCTTTCTGGCAGAAGACCCCCAAAGCATTTCCTATACCAGTTTACCATCTAGAATGTTAACAAGAATAGTGTAAGGTCTTTCTTGAAAATGATTACTTTTCACTTAAATAACTTATCATGGATTCATCTGTTCCAAACTCATCTTTTCTAGATTTTTAAATGAGTTTTCCAGCCTACATTTATTTACCACATAAAGCAGTGCTTTATTTTATATGGTGCTGAAAGTATGGTATTCAATTTTCTAGAGCTTTCTTCCGGTTCTGGTTCCAAAAATTTATGACCAACTTCATAGATAACTTACATGAATTTAGCCAGCAAGAATTATTTACTGAACTTCTACTTCATGAAAGGCACTGGGCTAGCTCCTGCAGTAAGTACTAAGATGTAGGAGATGATAGCCTCTCTGCTTTCAAAGAGTTTACCAATAAGCTAATAAGTTAACAAGATAAACGAATTTTTAAAAAGAGGAATTGATCATTGTCAAAATACTGTATGTGGTAAAAAAAGAGATATTAGCAGGGACTTGAGTACCTGAAGGTCTTATGAAGGAGAGAAGGTCCAGGAATGTAGCTTGAATGTAGCTCTAACTCGTAAGAAGGAATGGGAAAGGGAATTCTGTCAGTGCTAGGTCTAAGCTTCTTATTTATATCCAGGGAATGAAGAGACGGGGGAAAGCTAGTTAGTCAAGAAGCTATTAATAGTAGGAATTTGGGGCAAATACATGGGAGCCAACATCTGCAAGATAATTATAATCTCATTTTCATCACATCAAATAGAAAAAGCCACTTATCTCTCTGTTCTACTGACACTTAATGAGCAATTTGCCAGAAAATGTAAATGGGTTTATCGTGTCATGTAATCACCATGACAATCTTAGATCATTTTTGTAGTGTCAATCTTATTTTATGGACTGGGACATTGAGTGTACGGGGGGCTAATGTAAATAGCTCAGAGCTTCACAGTTAGTAACGATGGTAATAATGGAATAGTGATGATTATCTTTTACTGAGTATCTGTTATTAACCTGGTATGGGCGTAGTCACCTTTTTCTAGTGACAGCAGTCATGGAGCTGCATGGTTTCTCTCTCCACGCCCTCCTTTTTCTTAAGCAGGGTCACAGGACCCAGGAAATATGTACCCATCTGCATGCAGAAGTAGTCCACAGTGTGACTCTCCCAGCTTTCAGAGGGATTTACTTTTGCACTGCTCGATGCCCAATTGGTCAAGGGGAAGCCCAATGGGTCACTTGCCAGTGCTGTAGACATCAGAGCTGGGATTGGGACCCTGTGCTCTGTGCACATTGCAAGAGGGGTGAGTGGGAGATCAGAAACATCTCAGAAACCGCTGCTCCATTTACTCAGTATGGCGACTGCACGCAGGACTCAATATCAGGGAAGGGAAATGTGAATTAAGAATCAGACATGTCTGGGTTCAGAAGCCCATTTTCACTGGCTAGCTATGGGACTTCGGTATATTCATTCAAGCCCTTGTGGCCTCTGTTTGCTCATACTGAACAAGATCGATAAATAACTACTTCAAGGCCGGGCAAGGTGGCTCATGTCTGTAATCCTAGCACTCTGGGAGGCCGAGGCGAGGGGATTGCTTGAGCTCAGGAGTTCAAGACCAGCCTGAGCCAGCGTGAGACCCTGACTCTACTAAAACAAGTTAGAAAACTTAGCTGGGCATTGTGGTGGGTACCTGTAGTTTCAGCTGCACAGGAGGCTGAGGCATGAGAATTACTCTAGCCGAAGAATTTGAGGTGGCTATGAACTATGATGCCAGTCTCACTCTACAATAAATAAATAAAAATAATTACTTCATTGATTATTGTGAGAATTAGAATAAAGAACTCGCAAAGCATCCAGTCCAGTGCCTGACATTAGTTGCCATTCAATAAATAATAGCTATTGTCATAATTGTCATAACTAAATATCCTCCCACTTGCCAATGACAATTCTTTTTCGCTTTTCCAAATTGAAATTTGTGAAGAACCTGGTTAAAAATTTAACTTAGTTAAAAATTCTACACTTTTCTACTCTTCTTATAATTTCCCCTTATGAAAGAAAAGTGGCTTTATACCTAATCGTTTACACTGACTTATTTATTGAATTACTGCTTTAAATCGCCTAATATTCCCTGATGAGAATTTGTAGATCATTATCCTTGAATTATCTGATAGATGATGACACACCTTTCCTGTGCATCTGGAAGGAACTGACATTCTTCCAAATGTACAACACAGAAAACTATCCATTTGATGTGGCTCTCATTTTTTTTTCTCTTGGCTATGATGGAGAATATGCCACTTCAAGCAGCCACTGGCAAATAATCACTACTTTTTCCATTTTTTGGTTCATTAAGTCAGCAAATATTCATTGACAAAATGTTATGAACCAAGCCCTCTCTAAATTAATAGTATTCCCCTCAAAACAAGACTTTCTCTATACCCTCTCTCTTTTTTTCTGTAGCCTGTCTGCTGCCTTGCCAAATGATGGCTATTTGGGTGCTCAGTGATCCTCCAATTCTAAGAATAGTCTGGCCTCAAGTGCACAGAACCAGATTAATTATAACCCTTGGTGTGTGAATCATCATCACTGCTTTCCATGGATAAAATTAATTAATTAAATATTAAAACAATGCATGGTATGTACACTGTGAGTATTCAGTTTTCAGAGATAATGCCACCATTTTCCCAAGTAGTTGCACAAATTTATACTCCTCCTAGCAACCCATCAGAGATGCAGTTAGTCCACATTCCCATTCACGCTTGCTTCTTTCAAATTTTGTAAATGTTGTCAACGCAACGGGTGTAAAATGGTCCATTTCTTTCTTGCCGGCCCGCCGTGGATGAGGGAGTTTCATCCCCAAAGTTGAGATTTAGAACTTTTCCCAAACACTTGAAAAAAAAAAAAAAAAGGAATCGAAAGCCAGAACTTTCTCAGCCAAATGAGAACCACAGGTGATATTCTAGGGCTAACAATTTCTAAGAAATGAAGAGGAAGAAAACAATTCAAAAATAGGCACTAGCCAATTTAAGTGTAGGACCAAAAAAAGCGTGCTGCAGGAATTAAAGTCCACAGGCTTTTCTGTGACTCATAAAAGGACACATTTTCCTGCCATAAGTTTGAGCGGAATAGCAATTGAAGGGAAAATATGAATTAATACTTTTCTCTGTTTTTCCAATGAAAGATCCCTATTTCCAAACTGTTGGTAACCAGTTAGAATATAGACACTTTCTAGAATGTGCAGGTCATGCACATAAACACCAAAAAAGGAAAGTAACATGTGACTATTTATTAGTTATGTGTCTTAAAAAGTTTACATTTCTAGGAGGTGCCTGTGGCTCAAGGAGTAGGGTGCCGGCCCCATACGCCGGGGTCGTGGGTTCAAGCCCAGCCCCAGAGAAAAGTGCAAAGAAAAAAAAGAGATCACATTTCCTTTAGAAGGGCATTCATTTATGAAGTTGCGGTCATATCTAATTCATCATTCAGAAAAATATACATTCATTATTCCACAGTATTAAAAAAGTTACAGTTCCCCAAATAATTGTTTTATATGTAAGTGTGGTTACAGTGGGAATGTAACCTTAATCTTAAATGATAACATCACTTTCAATATGCATTCACACTAAAATGTAATGTTGTATTAGAAACAATTCACCTACAAAGAAATTCAGCCAAGGGTTTTACTTTATTAATGGCTGTCATTGAGTCCCAATAAACTTTCCTAATACTAATTGCAACAAATATCATTCAGTGTTGGGAGGACTGAAATTTAAGAGGAATATGTTTAAACAACGGTTTCTTGATATAAGGATATCAAAATAAAAGACTTTTGTCTTCCTTGGATATAAAATGAGTAATACTTAAATACCGCTCCTAAAAATGAGAACAAATTCACATTATTAAAATATTTACATCAAATTTTTGATATATCAAGCATTAGAAAAGTATTTTGTTGAAAAGTGACTACTAGCCTTATAAAATCTTGATATTATAGGTCATGACTAAATGATTCAGATGAGTGAAATAAAATTGTTTTGAGAGTCCAGTAGGCATTCAAATTTTATCTTCATTCTTCAATGCTATGAAGGTGTGTGGCTGGACATTGCACTCTTTAAGAAACAGCTTAAGCTTTATTTTAAGATTCCATGCTCTAATGCTTAAGTACTCAATCATGGTCAAAACCATTTTTTTTTCTCAAGATAACTATATTTGACATAAAAACAAAATTTCATTCATTTGCTTGCTCTTACTATAGGCTTGAGAAAAAATTATTAAGTCAACCAGTGAATATGTATGCACTGGATACCCTGTACTGATGCGAGGGCCCTGAGAGGGCATATAAAGAAAAATAGACTCAATGAGAAAGAAGAGATAATGACAGAAATAGGCATATAATTCATCCCAACTGATAAATGTACTTCCTGAAGGCTCTTCCACTGAAATGCAGGCTTCATTGATTTCTCTCATCTCTCTGTACACATATAATCCTTATTGCTTAGAACATGCTGTTCTACTTATTTTATTTTATGTTAATTAATCTTGTCTCATCAATAAGATGGTTGAGTGAGAAGTCAGACATTTTGGCCAATACTTATTTGTAACCCCACTAATAGTGCTGATCACGTAATACCTGTCCATAATTTTCTTAGTTAATTAAACTAATATTCAAGGATCTATTATCCAGATAGCCTAGTTTTTTCATTCTCTATAGAAAAAATAGAAGCAAGGAAAAAAGATGGCATTCAATGTATTAACATCAACTACTACTTTTGGATTCTTCTATCAGTCAGCTGTTTATAGCTAACTGTGTGAAGACTTCTAAATAATTTAGAGCAATGAACAGCATCCTTTCCTTGTGATGGGGTATTTTGATATGTTAACTGCAGTGTTTTGCTTTTTAAAAACTCGGTTATACCATTTTTAGATCTAATGCAAACTTAATGCATTATCTATTAATGTGAAGAGTCAAAAATAATGATATTGGATTTATATAATTTTCCCAAAAAATAAACTGAGAACTTTATGTTCTCTGGGGCGCGATATCATAAAGCATAATGAAGACAGAGTTCCTGGATCTGTGTTCTGCCAACTATTACTATCCAAATTGCCACTGACCTTCCCCTGAAGGCTTTAGAGAGCCTTGCTAGCCTTTTCTCTTCCTCTAATGCAGTGAACATCCCTTCCGACAGGTATAACATTGCTATAGGGGATCTCAATCAGTGAATTGTGAGAGAGGAGTAAAAGAATTATTCATGTGTGTCAAGATGTTATGCTGACAGCAGTGACACCAAAGATAATTATCTGGGAGCAGGTCATGGATTACAATGTAGGGTACACAGAAACTAGATACAAGTCCCATGAATTCCTTCTGTTTCATTTGCTTTAGTGCCTCCCTTGGGAATCTAACATATAAATCAATCCCTAAAGCGGTGAATACTGGCAAAAGAGGAACTCAATTCAATTTTTTCCAACTCATTGTCTAGATGGCAGAAAGAATATTAAATGGGTTATCAGTTTTTACAAATTATGACCCGGAAAAACTTTCGCCACACCAGAGTCCCAAACACCTGAAAACTACCCAAGCATGGCATGACGCTGTAGCCACCTGGTGGTGGGAGATGTTTGTTACAGGTGTAATAATTGGAGAGCACAATCCCAAAGCATCACAATTACGAACAAAGAGCAATGCCGTCCTGTATTTCTAAGCACTTACAGGAGTTCCCCTTTGGAAGAGCAACTCTACATATGATCAAAACCTGCTAATCAGCACCTTCCTCTTACCTCTTTCTCCATCTTGCTCTCTCCTTACCTATCCCACTTTATCTCCTATTACTGGGTATAATCCAATGTCACAGGCCCTGATGGTCCTGTCTTATTCAATGCTTATTGTTGTCCAGGCTTTCAAAAAGCTCTCCCCACTCCAACACATATTTTGAAATACTCTTTCCTCAAAATTCTAAATTCAACCCTGTCTTCGGTGTCAATTTCAGAAGCCACTTCCTACCCCCCATTGCAACACAAGCTAGTTTTACCCTTTCTTCATTGGTTTTTCCTTCACTGTCCTTAGAGCTTTCTTTCCCTGAGTGATTGTTTCCATGATAAGCTCTCAAATAAACATTTTCCCCCCATAGAATGACACTCTTTACAAATATATTTCCTAACTCTGCCTTTACTTGACAAATTTGGAAAAGACCCTAAAATATCAGGTATATTCAGCATGCTAAAGATACTTGGTCTTTTTTTTTTTTTTTTT